GTGGGTTGGTTAACCATTTTTCCCACGCTTTAATTTATTTATTTTTATCACTTTTCCCCCTTCCGAAATGGATAATTTTAAATATAAATAAGGGTTTATCATTTCTCAAGTCACTTAAGATAATCTTATCTACTGCCATCTTAAAATTACATCATTTTGAATGTTAGGATAATTAATAAAGGGTGTTTTAGTAAAATTAATATAATAAATAAACAAACAAAAATATCAAAACATCCTTTATTAATTCCCATAGTACCCAAAACGACATAGTGCATATAAGATTATCTATAAGTGACTTGATAAAGAAAACTATGAATCCTATTTGATAATTTTTTTCTTATATAAATATAATCCTCAAATTTGAACATTTTAGTTAGCCATTTTTTAATATGACAAAGAAAACTGACATAATTTTAAAATGTTTATCTTTTCAAAAGCCTAATTTTGATACTTAAAATAATTGAACATGAACATAATTAAGCAACCTTTAAAGTTTATGAGGTATAGAGATTTTTAATATTTGATAAAGTTTAACCTAAAGCATATTTATTATGTTGGGTTCAGATTGCGTTTCGGAATGACTTAATTATCTGACCCGATGTTATATACTCTTTTAAAAATTTTATTAGAAAACTATTGATAAAATTTAAATTAAGAAATCTTTAAATAATTTTATATATTGATATAATTTGTTTCACAGTATTTATAAAATATCACTTAATCTCAATTTCTTACTTTTCAAATTTTGATGACATAATTATAAATCATATTTAATTTTGTATATTTTGTTTAAAGTATCGAGTCAGAGTCAAGCTAAGATGGAATCAAGTTCATAATCAAAATAACTATCAATCAAAAAATATAGTATTCGGTATGGGTGAAAATAAACTCGGACAATGAATATATCTAAATAATCTCGAACATTGAATATAGTATTCGATAAGATCTCCATGACAATTTTTTCAGAATCAAATTTTTTTTTTCAATTTTTGTTCTCAAAAATATAAATGGATATAAATAGTGTTTGACAAAATTGATTTATTTTTTGTTCTCGAGAATGAACCGATTCAATTTCTGTGCTAGGGAATAGAAAAAAGAATAAAAAATATCTGCTTATTTGTTCTCGGATACAAAATGAAAAATATTTGTTTCTCTCAATCATTCTCCATCACTACCATCTCCATCATCCCGACACAATCACCGCCACCAATGTTGTCGCCGTCGTCGTACCACCACGTCGTCACCACCTCCACCACGATGCCGCCACCACTCCATCACCGTCATCACCACTATCACCGCAGCTACTACATCACCACCACTAGCATCACTACTACCGTTGTAGCCACTGTGTCACATGTCATCGCTAAGCCACCACTACCACCATCGGCACAGTCATTGTCACCAACCACCACCACCATCGGTACAGTCATTGTCGTCACCACCACCACTATCATCTTCACGCCACCGCCACCGCCACCAATACCACCACCACACCACAACCACCACCACCACACCATATAAAAAGGAAATTAATAATTCAGAAAAATTTCATGCTAAATAGGAATTATTTTTTATTCTATTATTTATTGTATTATTAAACGCAATTCTCATTCTCGGAATAAAAATAAAACATGATATCATACATATTTTTTTTAGTAAATTGTTCCAATGCACAGAAATAGAATTTTTTTTTCATAAACAATATCAGAGAATGATTGTCATGCTCATGCACATCCTAATATTCCACATGTCACTTTGATGCTGTTGATGGCGCGCATTCTAGGCTACAGCTTTTAGTTTTTTTGGCATCATCTTGGTGTGGTGTGCATACATTCATTATATTTAATTGGGAGGAAAACCATTTACCACATATCTTACACAAGAGTAAAAAGAATAAAAAAAAAACGAGATAAAAGAAAAGATTCAATTGTCGGTTACTATAAAAAAAAGTACATTAATATTTATTAATATTTTGACATATTGTTACTTTTAATTTATTTATTGAAAAGTCGAGGTAAAAATAATTAATAATGTATGGAAATATTAATCCATATCCATATAGTTCTTTTTTTTATCCTAATAAAGCATAGCAATTAAACTCTGTCACATTCACCGAGTACTGTTTAACAAAGTGACCAGACATTCCTTCCAATAGTAATGATAGAATTGATTCTGGTGTGTGAATGGTGCTGTCTTTACTCATTCACGTGTAAAGAGACTCAATTGCACAAAACAGGTAAAAGTTTTAGCGAGAAGGAAAAAGAGTTCTCATCAAGGATTTTGTTGACGGTAAAATTATGGAGAATTGTTTTTTGGGTCGGTTTCATATTCGAATTTTAACAGGAAAAAGTGAAAAGTAGAAAAGAAATTGTGGTTGGCATAGAACAGTGATGTTAAAATCAAATTAAATCAGACAATTTGAACCGACTAATTATGAATTAAATATTTAATTAGTTATACTTCGCTCTCGTTTAGAGTCAAATTAACTATTTAAGACTGGTTAAAAGTAATAAAGATTATTCGGTTGGACTATACAATTCATTTAATTTAACTAACTGGTCGTTATTTCTTTTAAAAAATCAAGATTTTTTTATTTCATAAATAATTTTATATAATTTACATTATTTTATATATAATTTTTGAAATGTTATTGATTCAACCAATCTATTCTAGTAACTGAATTAAAAGTTTCTTCGATTTATTATACAGTTCAATTTAACGAAATTGTGGTAGAGTATCAACTTTAGCCAACAGTCTCGATTTTCTTATCGCAATAATCAAAGTGATAGATATTAACTGTATAGTTATCTAACCATTTGAATGTCATAAAGAATGGGAGTTGTTACGGTCTTCATAAGAGAATAATAGTATTTGAGATAAGTTGTGAAACAGTAATAGGTCATTAATTTTATTACAAATATTTTAAAAGATTAATTTTTTTTATACAACTTCATAAGTTTCTTAAATATAACTAATGATTAAAAAATTGTAAATTATTCAACTTGGTATACCCTTAAAAAAATATAAGTACTGGTGGGAGTAATAATCTTCACAACATAGATAGGTACCGGTTTTAAGATGATATTAAGTATTTTTTTTAAAGGATAAACTTAATAATTTTGTTAGACTAGTGGTTGATTTTAATGTTTTCTGAACTTTGTGGGGGGGGGGGGGGGGGGGGGGGTTAATTTGGTTCACTTTAGGTTCACCAAATCAATGCAAATCAAAATAAATTTAGAGATTAATTTATTGATTTAACCTACTCATTTTATTGAATTATTCGAGTTATCTCATGATATACCAGTTAATTTTAACTATCTTATCTATACCTTTCCGAATACTCATGTTAACTCTTGTTCTATTTTAAAATGGAAAGAAGAAGTAAACAAGTTGGGAAAGTACTAGCGCACAAGCTATATTTTGATATTCAGAGTGCCAATTTCCCTCATCATCTTGAAGTCTAGGGATTTATTAATGTTGATATTGAAGACATTTTTATATACCTTTTTTTTGCCACCGCTATACTAAATAACAACTCATTTTTTTATAACATTAATTGTAGTGAATTTGTCACAAAATCCGTAAATATGTCTTTATAATTTAATATAATAATCCTGTATATAGTAGAAAAGGAAAATAAATCAAAAGGAAGGTTTATACCCAAAAAAGGAAATAATTGTTATGAAATAAATTTGTATATGTTTTACCTCCCTACCTCTACATTTTCTTTATTATAAGTAGTGTAATCAAAGATGTTAAAATTAATATTTTAAGTAAAATTAGAAGGGAACTAAAAAAAATCATAAAATATAAAATCGTAATGTAAAAATATCGTAAAAATGTTTGGAATATTGGTAAAATTGTTTTGATGAAAAAATCGTAAAAACGTAAAATCATAGTGATAAATCGAGATTTTAACAACTATGAGTGTAACCACTGGTATACGGATTACTGTTCATGATTACTATTCATACACGAGGGTATATTGTTCAGTACTGTCCATAAATGGGTTACTGTTCTGTTCATATAGGAGGCAATGTTATTAAATCCGGCCCGATTATTGACCCGGTCGAGGTACTGGGTCACTGGTTCAACCAGTGGATCACTGGTTCAACTGCATTACCTAGTAAGTATATGTAAATCTACAATTTATATTAAAAAAATTATAAATATAAATTAATACTTGTAAAAATAATATACCAATTTCAAATATTTTAATATGAAAATAATAAATTACACATAATTGTCCAACAAAAGATCAATCAAACACATAATATTTGTGATACTAGTGTTTCAGGTTCAGTATACGACATCTCAAACTATAAATCAAATTAAAATTCCCTGCATATTGCATAATCAAAATAATATTAGTGTTGTAGGTACATAATTTATATAAGTTAATAAGCTACAAATCACTCAAATATTTCAAAAGAAAACAAATCATTTGTTTGAGAGTAAAAAAAAAAAAAAGATATTAATTTATGAAAATAAATTAACTTTTTTTTTTATAGACCGGGCCGAGTCATCGGTTGAACCGACCGGGCCACCGGTTTTTACGAAAACCGGCCGGGTCGCACCGAGTCACACCGGTTCTATAACATGGTCAGTCCAATATAAAAATCGGACCGATTAAATGACTAGTTCACCGGTTTCTGGATCGATCCAGCCAGATCGATCCGATTTTTATAACATTGACTCTTCATACACCTAATACTATTCATGATTAGTGTTCATACGCATAAATCAATGTGCAAATAGTAAAAAAAAAAATTCTATAATTCTATTTCTTTCTCTTATATATTCCCTATCAATTTTATAACAATAATATTTTTATTTTGGTGGGTAAATAAATGCTTGATGATGTGCTGATTCACATTATAATGTGAATGCAATATGGGTGAGGTAGCTGTTGCAATTATGAACAGTACCCACAAAATGATTATTAATATGATATATAAAATATCGATGACTGAGGACACTCTCGCAGACCATCACTTTCCCTGTGTGTGGGTTTATACGGAGGAGTCTTAGACATATAAGGTCCCCCCCACCCTTGAAAGATAGCAAGACCTTACCCCAAACTGATATGTATCTGCTTCCTTAGCCTCCATAGCCAAAGTTGAGGATAACACCCTTTGAGCTGATTAGACATGTTTCCTTTACAACGCGGCAATGAGCTGGTGATCCAGTTTTCTAATAGTCTCAACCACCAACAACACAAAATCTCCCAAGATCTGATTCTGGATGATTATGATTCTCTGGTTGTCGGTTATTCTGATAAAAAATTGCCTAGTAGCTTTCCAAAGAAAATATTTTATGGCGCAGATACAATTCATGGTAATTCTAACGAATATAAGAAGAAGATGGCTCATAGGGAGATTGAGAGGCAAAGGAGACAAGAAATGACTTCCCTTCATGCCTCGCTTAGATCCCTTCTCCCTCTTGAGTTCATCAAGGTAAAAAATTTATGTTTTATTTTTTTATTTTGGGATATATATATATATATACTGTGTCTGTGTAACTTAAGCGGCTTAGTTATCTCAATTAATGGAGGATACCCTTTTGAAACCAGTGTTAAATTCTCCTTTTCATGAGTTTCTAGTAGCCTCTCTCTGATTTTGTTGGGGATGATGTGCTCAAAGTTTTCAGGGTTGTCTTATAACTTTAGGGTTATTGTTTATGGGGTTTCAGGGAAAGCGTTCATTATCTGATCAAATGAACGAAGCAGTGAATTACATAAATCACCTGCAGAAGAATATCAAAGAACTGAGTGACAAGAGGGATGAACTGAAGAAACTCTCCAATTCCAAGATCGAAAGCAATGAGATGAAGCATGCATCTACCAGTTTCACTGTCCATCAGAAGAATGGAGCTGTGGGAATTGAAATCACTAGTGGCTTCAGAGAGGAAGGGCTCCCACTTTCAAGATTGATGGAACTACTGTTAAAAGAAGGACTTGAAGTTGTTAGTTGCCTTTCAGCCAAAGTCAATGGCACTTTACTCCACAGTCTGCAGTGTGAGGTAGTCCAGGGATTCTTCTCATTGTTTTATACTTTTCTCTTCTTCTTTTTTTGGCAAAACTGGCTCTAATATTTTATATTTTCCCTTCAATTATGGAACTTGGTTCACAGGTTAACAATTCCAACAGTTTGGATCTATCTGAGATGAGAAGGAAATTTTCCAATGTAATTCCATCATTTAGATGTTCTGATTAGCTTTGTGGTTTGGATATAACTAGGCTCGCAATCTTCTCATTAACAGGAAATTAACATATTATCTATCCCTTTCTAACTGGTTAGTAATTTGTTTGAGTTTGCTTGCCATGTATATATTGGAAACCCTCTCTGATCTCTCTTTGGTTTTGAACCTTCTGCTTTGATTGTTTCGAGATAAGAGAAAGAAAAAATAATAATTCGATTTCTATCTTTGCTTTATGAAATTTACAGATGAGCATTTTTTTCCTTGATTGAATAACCTCATTTTGTCTCTAGTTAGATGTCAAAATTTTGAAGTTAATTACCACCATGAGAAATCTATTCTCTACCATTTGTATATATTTTGAGATTTTTTCGGTAATTAATATAGATGACCTTCATGTTTAACTGATTGCCCTCGATTTTGACACCTGGTATATTGCTAGAAACCATATCTGAGATAGTGAGTATCAACTTGCTTCTAAATTCTTTTGCCGCACCTTAGTTATTATTTTTATGTTGAATGTTAAAAATTTTCGCAAACACAAATAGGCATTCATGCAGCTACAATACTGCATAAGCACAAAAAGCCTGCTAACTGACTATTACTAATCTGGTGGTGTAATTAACTACCACTTTCAGGGGTGGAACCACGTTTGCCAGTGAGTTATTCCATGCGAACTCGCAAAAATTTTACAATTCAAAATTACATTATTCTTAAATTTGTTTTACTTTTATAAAATATAACTTTTTTTTTCCAAATATATATATATATATATATATATATATATATATATATATATATGAGGTAGGATCCTTTAACATCAGTGTCAAATTTGAAATTTGACACTTCATCTGAGAGCCGTTAGATCAAAAAAGATTAATGGTGTCACATGCTTACAAATCAGAGTCGTTGATCTTTTCTGAAGTTAATTAGTGCAAGCATTGCTTACCTATACTTGTGCCTCTTGTGCGTACTTGATCAGCCCAAGCTTCTAGAATTAAATCTGCTAGTGGGTAACTAGTTTAAGGGAAAAAGAAGTATCATTTAAAAGGACACAAGTTGTGTCCTTTTAGATTATTTACACAAAGTATGACCGGTCATACTTTATGTAAATCTGAAAAATTGCTTTTTTTTCTCTCTCATCAATCACATCGCTGACGTGTAAAGTGAAAAAAAAAAAAATTTTTAGAATTACACAGAGTATGACCGGTCATATTCTATGTAAGTCACTAAAACAACTTGTGTCATTTTAAACGAGACACACTAAACCCCTAGTTTAAATAGTCATAGCAATATGGTATATCTGTAGCGATATCGATATGTTGTACTCCTAGTAAAATTTTGGATAATTTTCTTGAAACCTTCGGTGTAGTGTGAGTATATAGTTATTTCTTCATATTGCTTGCAGTCAAGATGTGCTTAAAGGCGCAGAATTATTTGATAATCAAATCATAAATTATATATAACATTAGGAGGAAGAAAATTATTTAAGATAGCATAACTATAATGCTTCTTGCTTTGTTTACTTTATTGACAATTTCATTATTGTCGACTATAAATCTTTTGCAAATATCTGAACATGTGTAGATGACCTCTTATTAACTAGTTTTCATTTCCTACCCAAAGGACCTTATTGATACTCATTAGGTGATTATTACTAAAATAGAATTCGAGCTTCTAATTTAAGTGCATTTACTTTTTTTCTTAATTTTTTGTTTATGTGTTCATTCTTTTAGCAATGTGTAGTTTATGTGTTTCTATCATACATGGCAGGATAAAGTATCCGATTTTATTTTCTATTCTATGTTTGGAGTTTCTTGGTTGAATTAAACAATGGAAATAAATCACTTTAAACTCTTCAGTTTCACTTGATTTTAATTTAGATAATATTATATTTTGCACCTGGTTTGGAAGTGAGCCTATATTAATTGAGTTATTTTGTTTTGCATTACAAATAATTTCTCAGTTAAAAGCTCTCTCTATCCATTTTGAAAAAAAAATAAAAAATTAACTTGGTTAATCTAATTTATATTATTAAAAATGCACAAAGCTAAAATTTTAAGTTTAATTGCAACATTCCAAGAATCAACTTTAATTTGACAGATTCAAAATCATTCAACTCTAGGCTAGCTGTTGACATCCTATTCATAGCGTGTTTTGGTGGGCGATATCACAAGATCTTGACCCAAAATCACTTTTCAGTCAGAAGCTGCATATATGGTATCTTCTTCCTGCGACGTGATTCTGAAAATAATTGATTGGGTGTGATTACCACTCGTCCAAACATACTATATCAACCGTCCCTGATGAAATATTGAAAAATCCTCATTGTTTTTCTTATAAGATTTTGAAATATATTGGAATTTTGACATGAATATATATTCATGTGCAAATAGTTATTGTCCCTCCCGCTTTCTGCAGACATTCCCTGATTCAATCTCTGATATCATTTTGTTTTTTAGTTCTTTTATAGTCTGATTGATAAAGAATTGATTTTCATATGTCATGTCAGGTACACTTCTCAGTTTAGTCATCAATAGACTCATACTATTTAACTGCATAATTGAATTCTAAGTCATCACGTTTCTGTATTGAGTTATATATGATAAATCAGTGTAAATATTGTAGCAAAAGCCAAGTATTGTTGTAACAAGCTTTTAAAATTTAAACCTAAGAAAAAGTATGATATATAGTGAAATGAAAGAAGGAAGCCCTTCGATAATATAAGCCATAACTCGGGATTGCTAAAGGCCCACGTTTATTTGCTCCTTGAAATATTGCTCTTAGGCCCACTCCTCATCTGGGTTTGGTGGGCTTTGCATGTTGAATATAGTTGGGTTTGTGGGTTTTCTATCTATGTAGGCTGGAGAACGCGGCTATCCATCCAGTGCTTGTAACAGCCAAAATGGACTCAAATTGACCTGAGACACGGTGGGATACTAATACATTTTGTGAATCTAACCCTTCTGCTTTTACTGTGGATGACATCTTTTGACAGTCATGTATAACAGTATAAGAAACCTTCTGTGCTTTTCTTCAGAGAAACTGGACTATAAAAAATGACAAATAATATGTGTTTGATCTTTTTTAATATTATTTTTGAGAAGGATTTAAAACCTTAATCTGAATCTATCCCAAATCGAACTAGTCGCGAAGCGATGAACGGATGAAATATTTCAAAAAATATATATATTTTTTTTTTAAAAAAAAATCTGTATAGGGGGACCCATGTTATTTCAATTTACGCGACCGATTATCAAATTAACCGTGTACCATGCTATATCGGTATATCCCGTTACAAATCAGTACCCATTACAACCATGCTGAGATAGAATAGTAAATTATATTATCAACAAGAATTACCAAGGAAGCATATTTAACCCCAGAGTCATTCTCTTTCCTCTTATTATATTAGTTAGGGAGATTTACCTAACTAAGAAGCAAGTTGATTATTATCATATTGCATAATTGATACATTGTAATTTATATCTCATAGGTCTCTTGGGTGTGTATGATAACATTTTATTTTATTTTATTTTATTTTTCAATTTTTATTGTGGAAACAAAAGTTTATTGGAAATTATAATTGATTTAGTCTAAAGAATGAACTGCCCATGAACAATTTTTTTAAGAAAAATACATAAACAACGTTTTTTTTTTTTTCAATTTCGTGACCCTAATTATTCTTTGGAATGAGTTAAGTGTATCCTCGTAACCTGGGTAGGATAAAAAACTTGCATAAATATTAGATTAATCCTGAGTGAAACGGCGTGATAATTATCCATTTTAATTCCAAAGATTCTCTCTGTGTTTTGATCTCATGCTCTTTTGGCAATTCGTTAATGCATGGAACTTATATTAATACTTTGAGCCAGCCATCAAGGACTAGAAACAACTTTGTTTCTTCGCTCTCGAAGTATATTATTTTGGATTTTATGTTTTTATTTTTGTTGCAAAAAAAGTTTATTTATCACACTCACAAAAAAGTGAATGAGTCTCGTTATAAAGACAAGAGAGGAAAAATATTTATAGAACTCGCTAACTTTTATATAAATGTTACATGAGAAACTCTTTTTTCAGGAAAAACAGAAACATTTTTTCTTATCATTTATTTGATACACAAATTGTAAAAGTGGTATTAGAATTGAAAATTAAACAAAGGAAATTTTATTTTTATTAAATGTATCATATTAAACAATTTTTTTTTATAAAGAAACTCTTATAAGTTAAGAAATAAAAAAAAAAAATTATCTCTAGAATCAGGGTGCAAGAACTTGGAAATCCAAAAGAACTGGGTTTGGTGGGCTTTGCAATGTAAATATAGTTGGCCGTTCTCTGTCTATGTGCTCAAGAACATCAATCTCCATCACGTGGGCTTAAATAGCACATCTTGTGAGCTCAATCCTTCTGCTGCTACTGTGGACTATATCTTATAAGAATCAATATTATTAAAACTGGTCCGGTTATTGACTCGGTCGAGGTACCAGGTCACTAAGTCACTGGTTCAACCGCATGACCTCGTAATTATATGTAATTTTATAATTTATATTAAAAAATTATAAACATACTCAAATATCTAAAAAAAATGATAACAATTTCAAATATTTTAATACAAAAAATAATAAATCACATATTATTATCATTAAAAAATCAAACAAAAATATAATGATCGTGATACGGGGCTTTAGGTTCAGAAAACGACATCTCTAACTATAAATTAATTCAAAATTTTATGCATAGTACATAATTGAGATAATATTAGTGTTGTAGGTAGGGGTGTAAATGGACCAGGTTGGCCCAGCCCAGCCTACGGCCCGGCCTACATTGAGTCTGGCCCAGGTCCGACCTTTCAGAAAAGTAGAGTAGGCTTAGGCTTATAAAAAAAAAAAATTGTAACAAATAGGCCATAGGCCAGGTTTGTCAAGCCCGACCTACAGCCTGGTAGGCTGGCCTATTTAATTTATTAAAATAAAATAATAAAATAATATTTATTTTATGTGGCAAAGACACAAAGTACCAAATACCAATATCTCTTACTTTTTGTGCTATTTTATTTTATGAAATGAAAACTTGTCTAATGTCTCCAAATTTTACATGTTGTTGCAGCTTAATACCATAGAGCAATGGGTACCTTGCTGGATTATGATGTTACTGATGAAGATCTTTCAATAATACTCTTCTTTCCCTTGTCTTGATGGTGGTTTAAAGATTTTTAGATGAATGATATTCTCTTGTAGACTTTATTTCAGCATCCAGTAATTGTATTTTTCTTATTTTTCTCATTTCTTTGACTCTATTCCACTATGACATACATTTTAGAGCTGGGGTATTATGTTGACGCTTTCTTATTTGTCATTTTTTTCTTATGAAAAGTAGTAGTGCATGCATGAATGAAACTTTTTTTGCTCTATACAATTTTATTTTATTTTTTGCTTAATATATACAGTGGAGGCCTACAAGGCCTGTAGGCCATGTCAGACTTTCTTATTTTTAAAAATGGGCCGGGCTTGGCCTACAAATAAAGCCTTTAATAGGCCAGATAGGCTGAATTTTTTTTTACGTAGGCTTGGGCCATGAAGGCCAAAGCCCGGCCCAGCCCAGTCCATTTACACCCCTAGTTGTAGGTACATTAATTTATGTAAGTCAATAAGTAAAAAAATATTCAAATATGGCTATTATGATTTTTTTTTAAAAAAAACAAAAATTTGGATTTTTTTTGGGACCGAGCCGAGTCACTGGTTAACCGACCGGGTTACCGGTTTTTATGAAAATCAGCCGGGTCGAACCGGGTCGCACCGATTCTGATGCATGGCTGATCCGTTGTTTCAACTAGACCAGTTTACCGATTCCTGAATCGACTCGATCGGGTGGGTCCGATTTTAAAAACTATATAAGAACCCCGTTGCAAATGATTTCTTTTCTTCGGAGAAATTGGGCTGTGGAAATCTCTCATGTCAAACAGTATATTTTAACCAACCGGACACGGATTTTCAGATTCACTGACAACCATGCTATTGCCAATTACAAATTAGTACCCATTACATCCTTGCTGATAAATAGAATAGTTAATTATATTATTAATGAGAATTACCAAGTAAGTATATCCGATCCCAAACTCATCCTCTTTCCTCTTATTATCTTAGTTATGGAGGTTTCTATCGGAAAAAGCAAGTTGATTATTATCAGATTGCATGTGTACTTGAATATTTATCATCAGCTGTCCTTGGGTTTTGCACCATTCTCCATTCATAGATGGTTTTCTTTAATTTTTCTTTTCTTTTCTTTCGAAGTAATATAACATCCTAAAGTAGTAATAAGAATCACAGTGCACTAGTAAGAGACTATCATGCTCAAGAATTCTAGCAACGAATAAAACATTTTTAGTGGCTGTATAGTCGCATTTTCGTATAGCATAGCATAGTAAATGATCTCTATGGACGCCCAGCCTAATAACTATAAACTCAAGGCTAAAAGGAATCAAAACAGCATATTAAAAGGTTTAAGCTGCTGCGGCATCCATTGATTAAAGAACTTCCATTAGTGGCACACTTTGCCTCTATAGAAAGCACACATTTATGTCTTATTTAAACTACTACAACAATGAGCACGTAATCAGACCACAGCTTGTGCTACCGAAATCAACATTCCAATTTCCCATAGACAGCTACAAAACTTATAAGGCTTCAAAAAAAAAAATGATGTATCAAACTGCAAAGCAAGTCAAAATTTGCATAATTGGCAAACAGACAAACATTAATAGACGACCCCTAAAGAGTGACTTGGTAACCAAAAGTTATGTGAACTACAAGGATGGCCATCCACTAAAGCATGGTCCATAATTTCCAAAGCATGCCTAAAAGTCAGTGTGAAAGAGGAAGGGTCAATTTACACAGATCAATCTCCATCAATTAGGCCACAATGTATCAAAACCAGGAAAGGTGAAAGAAATAGTAGCAACACGGTGCCAGTGTAAAAAAATACTAAGAACAGTGCCAGGAAAAGTGCTTTTCACTGTTGACGAAAATGGTTAGTTGATAACAGGAACTGACGGGCATTCTTTCTGAGGCTTGAATGGGAAGCGAGATGATGTGTTTGTGTACTCAACCGGCAATTGGGGTGACTCCAACTCCCCAGTAAGCATTCCCACAACCTCTTTCATGGAAGGACGACGAGCAGGTGACTTAAGCAAACAAAGAAGAGCAACCCTGATGCATAGAAGAGCCTCCTCTTTATCCAATGACTGAATTGACTGATCAACCAGTTCAAGGAGCTTCCCATTCCGTCCACAATGGCGTGCCCAAGACACAAGATTTGCTCGCTTAAACTCGGATAATGGTGAACCAGTCACCTGAAGTGGACGCCTCCCAGAAATGATAACAAGTAATAGGACCCCAAAGCTATAAACATCGCACTTATCTGATACATCTCCACTATACCCATTATACTCAGGAGCAACATAAAAAATCGTTCCCCTCATACTTGGAGTACTGCTCATACCACCACTCTTGTGTATTTCACCACTACCAGAATCATAGCTATTCCTGCGAGGTCTCCTTAGCTCCCCACTGAACCACGAATCTACACTCCTATTACGGTTTTTATTACTATCATCTCTCTCCCACCAATCATCGCCATTGTCATCACTGTTTTCACCCTTTCTCTTTCTCTGCTTCTGTTTCTTCTTCTTCTTCTTCTTCTTGGCAATCTCGTCAGAATACTCATCCTTCCACCATTCCCTTGCTGGCCTTCTCTTCTCCATCTTCAAAACTCCAGTACCACCCTTTTCCTCATCCATTGATTCCCACCATTCCAATTTCTTCCTGCTCTTCTTTTTCTCCACAGTTCCCATGCTAGATGCAGATTCACCTATTACCCGCTCCCCCTTTGGTGTTTCCTTGCTCACCTCCTTCCCAATCCAATCCATCACATAATCCTTCACTCTGCCATTATTCACAAGACCTGATCCTGAGGCTGCAACCTCATTCGTCTTCACAGCAACGTCTATCTCACCAACATGTTCAAATGATTGCTCCTCAAATCCAGTATTCACACTCTCAGTGCCATCACTCTCCAACTCCTCCTTTCTCTTCTTTTCACTTTCCACTTCAAACTGAGATTCGGTTTTCAAACGGGCAAGTCCAAAATCGCCAATTTTCGCCGAAAAACAACTGTCCAGAAGAATATTACTCGGCTTGATATCGCCGTGAATGACAGGGGGGTCGCACGAGTGAAGATAACGAATCCCTCGTGCAATGTCGACGACGATGGCGAAGCGGTTCTTCCACTGCGTCAGTTCGGGGCACTTGCGGCGCAAAAGCGCGTCGTGGAGGTTACCGTTGTGCATGAGATCGTAGACGAGCAAGAAACGACGGTGTTTGGGGTCAGAGGAGAAACCTATGGCGGGAACGACTAGGTCGGAGCGGAGCCTGGATGCGAAGAAGAGTTCGTTGTGGAACTCGCGCTCGCCCTGGAGGGAAGCGGAGTCCATGAGCTTAACGGCGACGGGTTTTCCGGCGGGTGGGAGGGAGCCGGAGAAGACGGGGCCGAAGCCGCCGTGTCCGAGGCAGGTGGAGAAGGAGTTGGTGGCGCGGCGGAGGAGGGCGTAGGAGAAAGGATGAGGAGGGTTGGAATCGGAGTCGGAAGATGGTGTGGTGCGTTTCTGTTTGCGCTTGCGGAGGCAGAGAAGAACGAGGAGGAAGATAGAGCAGGCGGAGGCGGTGGAAGCGAGGAGAGGGGTTAGAACGTGGTGGCTTTGACGGTGGTTGTGAGCTGGTGATGACGTGGACAGTTGTCGAGATGGCATAGCGTGCGATAATTTGGGGAATTTAAGATTTTCCTGATTCGGAGAAGCAGAGGAATATGTGTATGTGCCAGTGCAAGAATTATGATGAAACCACAGAGGAAGCAGAGGATGAAGGCTCTCTCTGCCTCTGCCTTTCGCACACGCGGTGCGTACCTGTGACCTTTCGTTGCTCTTTGGATTGGGATTGGTACACACATGACACGTGTGATGTGACAAACTACTCTTTTCCTTTTTCTCACTCTCTTTCTTCTTTGGATCCTGACTGGTTCAACGCCAAATCAAGTGCAACATGATTAAAAACCTTTTCCAACAATATATTTATTTGGGGGAAAAGTTACTTCTAATATTCACAGAAATTATATTATTTTAGAATTAAAAAATTAAAATAATAAAGACTATTATAATTTTAGAATAAATTAAAATTATAAATACATAATAATTTTTGTTCAAAATAATATTATTTTAGTGAATATTAGATAAATTATTAAAATAACTTTAAAAAAAATGAACCATAGCATTTTGTATTATTTTAGATAAAATAACATTATTTTTGTGCATATTTATTAATTTTTTATAGTCTTTCTTCATAAATCTAGAAAGAGAAAGAAAATAAAGGAAACAAAATATAAAAAATTATTAATTATATACCAAAATAACATTATTTCATCTAAAATGATAGAAATTATAATGGCAAACATTATATATATATATATAGGGAAAAAGTATCTAATGTTACTTTAGACAACTTTGTCTAATGTTCATTGAAACGACGTCGTTTTGGAGTTGAAAAATTAAAAAATTAGAATGATAAAGATTATTATAACCCTGAAATAAATTAAAATTACAAAAATACTATGATTTTCGCTCCAAAACGACGTCATTTCGATAAACATTAGATAAAGTTATCTAAAGTAACTTTAGAAAAAGCAAACCCATATATATATATATATATATACTGTTAATTTACACTTTATTTTTTATTTTACTTTTAAGAATTCAACTCACTAATCGACTTTATTTTTTTTTATTTTAAGAATTCAACTCACTAATCGGCTTGTCGCTACCTATGGTTAATAACTACATACATGCAGCACACCTGTTCCTCAATTCAATCTCTATCCGTAAATGCGGTCGCTTTTGAGTTATTTATGATTCGTGCTTCCCAAATGGCTATTGTGACAAGAAAATCGTTGCTTGAATTTCATAATACCTAATTTATATATTCTTAAAGTTATGTTAAATTTTTCCTTTCGTTACAAGGCAAAGGAAAAGACTGAGTATTACAACTCCTTGATCGTTTCATGTTTTTATGAAATAGATAATTAACGATAATAACGTAAATTTGTCAATTATTGTCGATTTGATCAGTTGGATCTTTATATAAAGATTTTAGGTTTGACTCCAGCCGTGATCTTTTATTGTTAATTATTATTTATAAATATCTTTTCTCTTTTTAAACTTTTTATTTATCAAAAAAATAAAAGTACAATTTTATAATTTTTTATTATTTAAATAATAATATATGAAGAAAAAAAAATAAAAAATGTAGCTCAGGTAATTTTTCTTTAGAATAAACCTCTAAATTGATTTTTCAGATATTAGTGTATTATCATTTTAATTTTCCAAAGGATTTCATTATTAAATCAGTATATCAAAGATTTAAATTCAAGTTTGTGGCTATCAAAAATAAAATTCAAGTTTGTAAATGATATATGTATATGTTTAAAGATCTAATTGAACAAAAAATTAAATAAAAAAAAAAACTTAATATAATGTAATGCCATACTAATCTTTTAAGAACCAATTAAATGATATACTCTATTCCATTCTATTCCCCATCAGAGTTACAGTCCGTTGGATTGGGGAGGGGGAAAATTCAGACAAGAACGGCCCACGTGTTTTGTTTTGTGTTCACCTATCATGATCATGAGGTCGCGGGTTTTCTTTTGGTGGATTTGACTTTGTAATCTTTTAATTGCCTATTTGTCATCATACGATATCGATCCGTCGGATTTGTTTGCCTTTCTAAATCCAGGTCAACTTGAGCTCGATGCTAAAAATACATAAAATTTCACGTCACATTCCTTGAGTTAATCATTTTTCGCAGTGGATTGGATTGGATTCGATTGCTGAATGAAATAGTAAATAAGTTCTCCCTGATATGCAGAATTTTTATATTTTTTTTTGGTAAATAATTGTTATTGTAATTCCCCTGAATCACCCTTTGAATAGCTACCCTGTAATATCTTTAAATGAATTATTTTATGGACTGAATTTCTTATGTAATTGGAAAGGTCGTTCGGTTCCATGTATAAGCTCTTTAGACTGCTTAAGCAAGCATTAAAAATATTGTGGTCAAATGGCAACCACGTGTGCTCATTATTAATAATTGTAACTCATTTGCAGTTTTTACCAAATATTTTCCCTTTTTCGATTTTGATAAATATTAAATTCATAATATTTTGAATAAAAAAATGGAGTCTTAATACTCCTAAATTAAGGATTATAATATAAATTTAATATCTTAAATTGTTCATATTAAAATTATTAGACAAATTGTAACTAGGTTATCTTTTTATATATTTAATTAAATTAGTTTTTATTAATATTATAGCTCTTTCAAAATAAATCCTTATAAAATGAGTTTAATTTTTTGTGTGCAATAGTGGTACTGCGATTCAAACATATAACCTCATATATAATATTTAAATCCCTCACTAGACTAATTCTAATAGCTTTGAAATGAATTTAATTTTGATGCATTTAATGTAAAAGAAGTATACTTATATTTATTGACATATTGCATAATTAAGCTCATTAAATAATGTTATATTACATAGCTAAATATTAGGTAAAGTTTTTTACACTGACAATATATCAAAATTAAATTATTATAAATTTTGATTTTTAATTTTTATCAATGAAAGATTTTTTTTTAGTACATAATTTTACTATAGTTTAAAATATACGGTTTCCGCTTACCAAAAAAAAAATGGTTTCCTTAAAATATAGAGTAAATCACACTCGAGTTAAATTGCGAAAATTATATATATATATATATATATATATATATATATATATATATATATATGGAAAAGATATGTTTAAAAACTCTTTTTACAAATTTTTGTAAATTACACTGTATACTCTCGAGAATACATAGTGTAATTTGTAAACAAAAAATATATATGGAAAAGATCTGTTTAAAAACTTTTTTTACAAATTTTTGTAAATTACACTGTATACTCCCGAGAATACATAGTGTAATTTGTAAACAAAAAATTTATAAATATAACCTTCGTGTATATATATATATATATATATATATATATAGGTAGGATCATTTAACACCAGTGTCAAATTTAAAATTTGACACTTCATCTGAGAGTCATTAGATCAAGATGAGGTGTCAAATTTCAAATTTCAAATGTGTGTGTGGGTGTGAAATCATTTCTGCAGCCGCTTTACGTATAGCAACGGAAGGTGTATGATTATGATTCCTCATATTTAATACTTTCATCTTTTGTATGGTTATGATTCTCCGCATTTAATATTTTCACGTATATATATGGTAAGTATTTTATTGGTGCACGTACAACAGCTGCAGAAATATAAATCCCATATATATATATATATATATATATATATATAGAGAGAGAGAGAGAGGTAGGATCCTTTGACACCTCATCTCAGAACCGTTAGATCAAAAAAAATCAATGACTCTAATTGCAAGCATGTAACACCATTGATTTTTTTTTATCTAACGGTTTTGAGATGAGATGTTAAAATTGAAATTTGACACCAATGTCAAAGAATCCTACCTCATATATATATATGAAAGAAAATTATTCTTATCTCATATTTTTCACATAAAAAATTATGTTATCTTTTTTTTAATAGATAATAAATTCCACCACATCATATACCTATATATATTTGTCTCTAACAAAATTAGAAAATAGAATCCCATATATAAAATTAGTGCATAATAAGTCTTCTGTTACCTCAAAATTCATGTTCTCCTGCCAGTGAGAGGTGGATTTGTGTGCCAATATTTCATTTTATTTTATTTTTTCTTTTAAATTAGTGAGACCCATTTAATTGTATCAGCCGCGGAAAAGTGTCCCGCTTGAGAAGATACAATCCCATAAAATTATACAGCTGTACACGGTTTTTTATGAATTAACGTTGATTGAGAGCGATCGCTTGACATGTTACTCGCTAGTTTTTTGGTATTAGTTTAATCATAACAAATTGTATTACTTTGTTGACGTAAGAATCTAATGATAAGCATTAAAGTATATATAAAAACCTCTTTTAAAAAATATCAAAGAAATTGACGGGGCGGGGAGGATACAAAATTATAATCTACCTTTGGCAATAAGCTGGATACATTCATCATGATTAGCACTCTTCATTTAACTTTGTCTACAAATTAAAATAGAAGAAAAAAAGGGGGAAAACTTAATCCTCCAACGTTTACTTGAATCACAATTGAAAGTGAATGGTGCACGAATACACTGGATGGTAGTTGTAGGGCATGCTTATAGGTGGACTAGACGATGTACTCATGTTCATGTTTAATAGAAAAGTGGTGGGAATTTCTCACTTAGACTGATACGTATGTTGAGATTTTTAAAAGTAATAAAATCTCACATTAGTTTGGAATAAATTAAGTGAAATTTGTATAAGTGAAAGATCCATAAATTCAATATCTTAAGTTTTTGAGTTAAAATATAATGTCGGGCCAATTATTATACTTGGAGTAACTTAATTCGTTGGTGATAGTCCTTTGTCACAGGCTTCTCCTAAATTCGCCTAACAGTAGTATTAGAGTTGGGTTTAACTTGAGCTAATCGAGTGTTGGGCTAGAGTTGGATTGAGTACTTGGGCCTGGAGCATTCAGGAAGAGAAGGAAGTGAGAAGACCCATAAATTCAATACCTTGAGATTTTGTGTTGTGACATAGTGTCGTCCAAGTTGGGCTCATGTTAGCCTGGTGATTGGCTAAAGGCGGGTTGGGGGACATACCAATGTTGAATTTCACACTTGAGGGGGAGATTGTTGAGATTTTTAAGTGTGATAAAGTCTCACATTGGTTGGTAATTGACTAAGTGA